AAGAAGAAGAAGAAGAAGAAGAAGAAGTTGAATTCAAAAATGCAGTCGAGAGAACCAAAGCCAGAGATTGGTCCGACGTACGCGCAGCCCTGGAGACCATTGCTGGGAAAGAGCGCCAGCGAATGTCTGCCATGTCAGGGTACGCAGGACAATTGATGAATTACTTCCAAAGTATATGCCTTGCGGACCCGGGGGTATTCAAAGGAGGCGAAAACGAGGACTTTGGGGTATTCATTAGAAAATTTAGAAGAAAGTCCGGTCAATCATATGGGACGAAGAGACACTGGTAGATATCTTGGGCGATGAGCATTTGGCGGGGCATCCAAAATCCGAGTACCTTAGTATCCCTTCATCAGTGAGGTGTCAGGGATTGGAGAGGGTGGTAAAAGAGATGGTCGCGCTGTTAACGTGCGACGCAACCGCGATAAGGCTTAGAGCGCTCACAGTCTTAGGAAACCTACAACTGAGACCAGATCAACGGGGGCCAAATTTTGCGTAGCCCTGGATGGCTTAACTAGGAAAGCGACCCTCAATGCAGTATTGAGGAAAGGTCCATGGAATGCGCGCAGATACACCTGGATAATTCGAAAGACTGGCCTGACTGAGTATGTGCAGCTAATAGGAACGCTGCATAAAGTGGATCCGGGGAATGCCTACAACAATATAAATGAGGTAGCGATAGAAATCGAGCAGTAAAGATGTGCAGGGGGACCGCAGAGAACGACGGCAAAGCTTTCCGAATAAAGAGGAAAGATTCGCGCATAGTAGGCATTTCCAAAATATTGGCCCAGAAAGTGAGAATCGCAATGAAGAAGAAAGGGGAGCCGCAGCCAACGAGGAACATGGGCGCTATTCGAGGTTCTCCAGACGAAGGAAGGAGATGCTACGGGTGTGGTCGATATGGACATCGCGTACGACTGTACGAGCGAGGCAGAAAATGACCTCAGCAGCAAGACATTGGGTCCAGTAACATCCTTGGTAGACAGAGCATGAACCTAGTAATCTGAAGCGCTCGGGATAGGACAGATGAGATGATCGGAGACAAGACACTACTGCCAGCAAGAGTCTTGAACATGCGGATATCATTGCTGATAGATACTGAATCGATGATCAGCATCACGGCCATCAAGATACTTGCAGATCCAAAAGACAGGGGTTATGACGTAGACGGACTAGAGTTTCTAAAGGTAGAGGAAGAAAGTGTTTCTGATGCATCAAACAATGTCATGAAGTTTCTAGGCGGGATGAGAATACAAATAGAAATAGAGGGAGGACATCGAAGCAAAGTGGCATTCCATGGAGAAAATGCTCTTGGCAACAAACGCGCTAAAGAGCTTGAGTATCACATAACGTTTCAGAAACCGAGGACGGAAGTGACGACAAGAGTACTGGAGCGAAATGTCACATACATGGGAGACGAATAAATGGTATGATCATGGAGGATTCGGGAGCCATGATGTTGGACAGCGGTGACTAGAGTTCGGTTTGTAGTAGGGACTGTTTGCAAGAAAGCGAACAGTCCCTACTACAAACCGAATCAGAGAAAACAGGGAATCGAAAACGTTAGAAGCAGATATTACAGATGTTTTAAACGAGTTCAAGGACGCATAACGGGATGATGCTGACACAGACGGATCCGGGAAAAAATGAATATCAAAACAGGCGACGCGCACCAATAAAGATGAGAGCGAGGCCGGTGCGTTAGGATATCAGAGCAGCTCAGGCAGATATTACAGGATCTGGAAAAAAGATCTATTATCGACGAGAGCGCATCAGAATGAGCACCCATAGCGTTAGTGGAGAAGGAAGACGGATCCTTGAGATTGTGTGCAGGGCTCGGCATAGCTAGCAAAAGGTCAAGCTGTATATCGTTTTTGGGGTGGGAAGCAAAGCGGATATCTTTTTTTCGGGGTCCGGGGCAGAGCCCCAAAAGGAAATTTTAGATTTTCCGACTTTAGAGCAGAACGAGAAATTTCAGATG